AGCGGTGGGTGGTGATGACTAGCTGCCTTCCCTCTAGTCTTACACTGCTAAATTAGGGACCGCTAGTGCAGATAGCCCTCGTGTAGCTTTGCGCGGAATTCAAAACAAACAAACAAGCAAATGGGATTCCTTACTCGTGATAATGCGGGAATTAATGTCAAAAACTGAGGTCATACGCTTGAGAGCAAGTACTTCCAGAGCCTGTTAGGTGGGTGTACTCTTTTTTTTTTTTGAGATCATGTCCACCATTACTAGCTTAGACACAGAAACAAAAAATAACGGAAAGGTCGTGGGCATAGAAAATTACAGACGAGTACTAGCTTTACAACTCAACATGTTTATGAATATATTCTGAGTAGTGATGACTTGTCTGAAAAGTTTTTTCTTAACTCAGGTCAATGGGGTGGATTTGAGGCACGCGACACACGAGGAGGCAGCGGTAGCGTTGAAGGGAGCAGGACAGTCTGTCAGCATGATAGTGCAGTATAGACCAGAGGGTAAGTGAAAGTTTGGACTGTATATTTAGTATGATGAATGTTGCTGTAATACCCACCTTTCTGTCTACTGGTGTGTGCATTCTCTTTCTCTCTGTGTATGTGAATATATGTATTTTGTAAAGTACTGATAACGTATTTTATCATTTATTTATTTATTTTTACGTGCAGGCACCTTCACGTTTACCACTTGTTTGTGAAAACGTTTTATCAGGAGTTAACATTAGTCCCCAGTGGGTCAGCGATAAGTTTACGGACTTAACAAAGCTAAAATCCGGGGCTCGATTTCCTCTGGTAGAAGGAGCACAGAAAGCCGGTTGTGTAGCTTTATGCGAAAAACAAAAAGTCTTAATACTGTGTTTCCTACAGGTTACTCATTCTGTTTCATACAGGATACTCACTCTGTTTCATATAGCACGGCTTAAAATGAAAGTAAACTTTGTTTATATTGTTAACATTTTATGCTGTTTTTTAATATATTTAAAAACAAGTTTCAGTGGTGCCATTCAACAAACGTTTTTATTAATAATTAGTACAATGAACTAAATTAATATGATTACAATTTGATCAGACTAGTCGGTTGTTATAAGTAAAGACGCAAGATTTGTATAACATCGGTTTACTTTGCCAGTGAAGTGTATTAACATTGATAAGATGGCATGGCAAGGAGTTATTTCAACTAAACAGTCTTTACTATCGTGTGCATTTTTGTAACAGGTTCACAGTTGATTTCAGTAAAACACAAAAGCGAGCCATTGGCAAGATGAAAACATTCTAGGATATTTTATTATTACGTAAACGTTGCTGTAATTTCAGTGAAGTCGCAGTGATTTCTTGACATGCACACGAGATAAAAGTACAGTCTACTAATGGCTTTTGATACTCACTCAGAATGAAAGCGAAGGCTACTGACAGTTGCGATATACATTTAGGGTACTGACAGTAAGTACCTCATACGTAATAACAGTAGAAGAGAGTATGTATTAACACGTATTAGGATGAATGTATAACTTAGAGACAGTTTTTAATACAAACATTGAATGCATAGGCATTGTTTGTGGACATTTCTTGACGTAATGTGTATTATCTATGTGTTTAATTGTAATTCCTGTCACAGTTTGTAATTATTTTTTGAGTGTTTATTGGTTGTTATGGGCCTTATAATTTGTTTTGAATGTAATATGGCGAAGATGAATATTTATGAACTCGTATATGGCAAGCTGTTTGTTTGAAACTTAATTACATCGTACGAAACCAAGATTCTCACCCAGTGGTCGGGGGGGGGGGTCCGTTAAAGTAAAGATCGAGTTTTCATATTAGGTTAAATATAAGTTTAAAAAAAAAAGAAACGATACTATGTCAAGTTAAAATTAGTTTTGAAAATTTCATTAACTTTCGGACTTATGTAAGTGCCGCTTCTATGCACTGTAGGATCAGCTTTCGCATATAAACCTGTCTGTGAGATTGTCATTGGTCCACGAAAGGAGATTGAGAACCACTGATATAATGGTTTTCGTTTGAATTTATTTGAAGGATGACTAGACCAAGCGTGGATCAATGGTTAGCATGCCGGACCGTGAACCTGTGATTCCGTTGTTGTCATCCTATTACTGCCAGAAAAATAAAAAAATCGTTGGTGTCGTATAAGAGCAACGGCCAAGTCCCACCATTCTGTCTGACAAGAGTAGCCTAAGAATTGGCGGTGGGTAGTGTTCTCTTTCAATATTCCTTCCTTGTTTATCACTTCAAAATTAGGGACGACTAGCGCAGACAGACCTCGTGTATCTTTGGGCGAAATCCAATAAATAAACAAATCAAGGATGATTAATTATTATTTTGATGTAAGAACCCGTTTGACGCTTGTTCACGCTTGTAACGTAACAAGGCTGTGGAAATTTTGGTCAAAACGCGACCCGACCTTGTTCTCGGTCAAGATAAGAAACTGCAAGATTAAATATATAGTGAAAGTGAAAATGTTCAAAATGTTGTGACAAATTTAAATTTCCGATCAAGGCAAATTATCAACAACTTAGAGCGAAACTAAAAAATCCAATCTGGTAACGAGTATAGCTAGTGAAATAAACTTTTCTTACGTTCATATACGAGTATAGCTAATTAAATTACTCTTCCTACGTTCTTATACGAGTACAGTTGATGAAATTACTCTTCTTGCATACGAGTATAGCTAATTAAATGTACTTTTTTTACGTTCCTATACGGGTATAGCTAATTAAATAAACTTTCTTATGTTCATGTACAAGTATAGCTACTGAATAAAATAAACTTTTCTTTCGTTTTTATACGAGCATAGCCAACTAAATATACTTTTCTTATGTTCTTATACGAGCACAGCTAATTAAATGTACTTACGTTCTTATATGGGCATAGCTAATTAAATGTACTTACGTTCTTATATGGGCATAGCTAATTAAATGTACTTACGTTCTTATATGGGCATAGCTAATTAAATGTACTTTTCTTACGTTCTTATACGAGCATAGCTAATTAAATATACTTACGTTCTTATACGAGCACAGCTAATTAAATGTACTTCTCTTACGTTCTTATACGAGCACAGCTAATTAAATGTACTTCTCTTACGTTCTTATACGAGCACAGCTAATTAAATGTACTTTTCTTACGTTCTTATACGAGCACAGCTAATTAAATGTACTTTTCTTACGTTCTTATACGAGCACAGCTAATTAAATGTACTTTTCTTACGTTCTTATACGAGCACAGCTAATTAAATGTACTTTTCTTACGTTCTTATACGAGCACAGCTAATTAAATGTACTTCACTTACATTCTTATACGAGCACAGCTAATTAAATGTACTTCACTTACGTTCTTATTTATAAAGATTGGAATGCATTGTTTCGGCAGTTGAGTGCTTTCGCTGTTAAAGATATTTTCTAATGTAACCTAAATGTTATGTTTACTGTAACTTGAGGTCTGGAGGCATATTTACACTATAGTAGGCTTTTGGCGGTTGGAAATCGGCATGTTTTTTCGTGCCGTTGGATTAAAGAAACTATAAAACTTTTATTATGGCGTGAACACCTTTTTCATCTTATATATACATATATTGCGAACCGTTATGTCTGTCCGAGTGTTCGTCTCTCTCCCGTTTGAAAAACTGCGCACGCAAGCAAAGCTTAACATTCACATTTGAAATGACTGGAGAATAGGCATGAATAATGTTGATGCCAAATGTTATTTCGCAAGCAGGATATTCTACACTAAATTGTTAGGAATTAATCACACCATCATTCACGTTTCAAATTTTGTCGGAACTTAAAGAATAAAAATGTAGATTTACTGTGTGTCATTGTTGAGTGGCTCTTAGCATGACTGGAAATGCTCAACAGTTACTTATCGTGGTGGGTGGTATAAGTAACTCAGAGCTTTGGCTCTGAGTGAAACCAAGAGTGCAACACAATTAACCTTTTTAAAGTCCATGAAATAATTTGTATTGATAGATTGAATTAAACTTTTCCCGCCACTGGGGTCGGGTACTTTTGCTTGTGCTACAGAAGAGAAAACTTCTAGTTCGAGTACCAGTGATCCAAGTCTAAGTCAGTGGTTCTTAACCTTTTTTGCTCCATGCTCCACCTCAAAAAATTTGATGCCCCCTTAATATAAAATTTGGTATTGAAAAGCTATAATAATATAATGTAAGATTTTTTTTTATTGTAGCATTTTCAAATTGCCCCTCTGTGGGGGGTTCGCCCCACGTTCAGAATCACTGATCTAAACCTACTCCTCCCTTACGCATATGGTGACGTCGTCCGTACTTCCCTACTCCTAGTTTCATTTTTTCGTAGTTTAATGAAACTTAAAAAGTTTCCCATGCGCACACAAGCGTTACTCATTTAATTATATAGATATACGTTTGTAACAAATTGTTTCCGAATAGAATTCAAACTGAGTTCCAATAATACGAAACTTTTAACTCACACTGGATTACCGGTGCTCAGCAGTAAACTATATCTAAACAAAAACACATTAGATGTGTAAAAAAGGTGCGGCCAAAAAAACCCAAAAACATTCAGTATGCAACTTAAATGAATGAAATCGAAATTAGCGGCCAAACTGGTAGCTACACTTTGAGTATTGATAAGAACTTTATATCAAATACTCATTCATTAGTTAGCCAGACCGCATTTTTTTTTTGTTCAACGTTGGGCATTATGGTGGGTAGAATATAATACACGACCCGGCTAACTAATGAATGAATGTTTGCTGTAAAATTATCATCAATGCTATAAGTGTAGGTACCAGTTTGGTCGCTCCCCAGTAGCACAGCAATATGTCTGCGTACTTACAACGCTAGAATCCGGGTTTCGATACCCGTGGTGGGCAGAGCACGGATAGCCCATTGTGTAGCTTTGTGCTTAACTTAAAACAAACAAACCAGTTTGGCCGCCAGTTTTGATTTCATTCCTTAAGTCGCACGCTGAATCCTTTTTTGGCCACACCTTTTTTTCACACCTAAAGTGTTTTTGTTTAGATATTATGACTTTTTGTTAATAGACACCAACAAACCACACCAAATAAGAAAGTGATACTCGATAGTACTCAACATCAGCTTTAGGATCGCAACCCTATTATTCGGAACAGACTTTGGCCAGGTGGCTAGAGCGCTTGACTCACAATCTGAGGGTCACCGGTTCGAATCACCGCCCCACCAAACATGCTCGTCCTTTCAGCCGTGGGGGCGTTATAATGTCACTATCCGTTCGTGATGCCCCTCGACGTGGATTTTTGTACATGGTGAGGGGACCTCCCAGGGAAGGTTCTGTATTTTCAGTTATTTTCTCTGAGATCTAAACATCCACCCACGT